CTAAAGTCACTTCAAAGAAACAGTAGGCTAAGTGAAAATAGCGTACTCGCTCTGCAAGCACAAGTTCGGGACAAGCTTCCTAAGCCCCTTCTCTAACTAGACTACCAGCCTTAAAAAATGCTGGGGCTGCCATGTCACTTCCCCATATAGAGGTGGTAGGTTTTCTACCTTTGATCCGAGTCAGGGAGTCACTATGTTCCCACTTCAGGGATCAACAGCCCACTCCCTGTTCTGTTCATTCCCACCCATGTATAGCACCTGGCTCCTGAAGCAAGACAGATCCCCCTAGGCCTCTCCCCAGTCAGTAGACCAATGCTGTTAGGCAACAGTTGAACATCCCAGGTCTCGGTCCAGCTATACTTCTTAAACTGGGAGATCCTAACCAATCCACCGCAGGGAGCCCCTTCTGGCTGCCAGTTATTTTATGACAAAGTTTGTTGCCTCTGGACAAGGAAACTGGACATATTTTCAGTCCACAATAGGCAGACAAATTTATAGAAAAGCACAACTGCATAAGGACTACAGTTCCAGCTGTTTTCTTCTGTTCTGGCTTTCAGGTCCCTAAAGTGGATTAAAAAAATTTTGGAAAAAATCTACAATGTTGCATTATGATGTATTTACCAGATGATGTGTTAACTCAAAATATACTTACTAATTTAATATGTTTTCAAGATCATGCGTTTTTTACTCAGTCACCCTTTTCATTCCCATCAGCCAACAACCATTCTAAACTTTTACCAAATACTAGAGAAAAACTTGAAATTGTGTGACTTTTGGAAATAAACAACGTTTATTACTAACAGGCTCATCAGAGGGTGACAATACAATATATTTTCCAAAATGGAATACTTTTGAAAATAAAGTGAAATGTTATTTATAATTACCCTGGGACAAGTTTAAATTGGACTGTCCTGGGCAAAGCCTGCTTGTGGGGAGAAGCCAAGCAATGGATCTGGATGCTTTCTGATTAGCACATGAAGTCAAACCACTTACATATGAGGTTTTACATAGTTGATTCTGATCATTCCCAGATTCTGTATTTGTGAATTCACTTACTAGCTAAAATTGATTCGTCATCCCAAATCAATACTTGCAGCAGCGTGTCAGTCGTTTGCAGACGTGCAGAGTGGCGAAAAATTCAAGTCGCCCAACGTGCAAGTTCCCAGCTGAGGAACGTGAATCAGCTCTCATACTGTAAACAAGAGTCCTCTTCAAAGTCTATTTAGTGCCACGTTTTTTACATTTTGTGCTTTTTGTTGGTGATTTTGCTGTTTAAAATGGCCCCCAAGTATAGTTCGGAAGTTCTGTCTCGTGTTCTTAAGCGCAAGAAGGCTGCAATGTACATTACAGAGAAAGTCTGTGTTAGATAAGCTTCATTCAGGCGTGAGCTATAGTGCTGTTGGCCCTGAGTTCAATGTTAATGAATTAAAAATATATGTGTATTAAATAAGGTGTCTTTAAACAGAAACACACATAAAACAAGATTGTGTGTTGATCCGTCGATGAAAATGTAAGCAGAGGCTCACAGGACAAAAAACAAAGAACTGTTAAAATAATTAATGAATTGGGCTTAATCAAAATTAAAAACTGCTCTCAAAAGATATTGTTAAGAAAGTGAAAGAATAAGGCACAGACTAGGAGAAAATATTTGCGAAACGCATATCTGATAAAGGACTGGCTTCCAAAATATATAAAGAACTTTCAAAACTCAAAAAGAAAAACAACAAACCAATAAAAATGGGCAAAACGTTTGAACAGACAGTTCACCAAAGAAGAGATATGCAGGGCAAATAAACACATGAAAAGATGGTTAAGGACCACCACCAGCACCATTAACATAAATCGACAAATCCTGATTTGCATTCAGCTCTGCAACAATCTCATGTCCACTGGCCAAATCCCTGAAAGATCAGCCAATGCGATCTCCTTTATTTTCTGTTCTTACTCGCTGCCACCTCCTTTCCACCTCCATTTCTTTCCTGAAACTGTTCTCAGGGAAAACTGACCAATGTCAAAACCAACACTTCTTTCTAGTTTTTTATCATATTTAATCTCCAAACATTCGACACTGGCCACACACTCCTTGTATCTCTTCTTGTTCTTTGGTCAACGTTTTCTGACCATCCACTCCTTTTCCTTATCCCTTGGGATGTTCTCTCTGACTTCTCTTATTCTAATCTTAGTTTTAATACTATTGACATGCTGAAATCTTCCAGACTTGGCTCTCCAGCTCAAACTTCTCTCCCAAGTTTACCAATGCCTACAATGGCTAACCAGATTGCTCTCTCTGAACATGTGGCAAGCCCCTCCAAGTCAACACGCCCAGAACCAAAGTTACCACTTCCCCACGTCACTCCTCCTCCTGTGTGTGCAGTTAATGTCCTTATCTACTGGGTCAGCAAAAATAGCCACCACAGTCATTCCTCATGCTCCTAGATCCTTAACCTCGTGTACAGGTTGTTCACTGCACAGCTCCAGGGGGCACCATTCCTTTATTGGCCCCTATGGCCTGTCCAACCTGCCTCTGCACAGCAATTCTGTCTCCTCCTCTCAGTTCTTGCTGCCTTTGCTTTGCACCAGGCCTTCATCAGCTTTGATTTTCAATAGCCTCCTAACTGGGCTCTTCATCTTCAATCAATTCTCCACACGATAATTAGAATTACCTTTCTAATATCCAATCGGATTATGTTATGTCTCTGTTTAACAATCTTTGCTGTTTCTTGACTGACTTCAAGATAAAGGTTAAACCAGTTAGCAGGAACACAAACCCCATTACATCTGCCACTGACCTTAGTTTCCAGCTCAAATCCTATTCCCGTTAATCTAGAGAAATAATTTTCCAGTCCCAGCACATCCATGTTACTTGCATGTTCTGTTCTCAGCGTGTAAAATGTCTTCCCACACCCTCTCCTTCACAGCTTGGAAAATTATTTCTGATCATTAAAACCCAGTTGACAGGGCCGGCCCTGTAGCTTAGTGGTTAAATGCGCGCACTCCGCTACTGGCAGCTCGGGTTCGGATCCCGGGCGCGCACCGCTGCACTGCTTCTCTGGCCATGCTGAGGCCACGTCCCACATACAGCAACTAGAAGGATGTGCAGCTATGACATACAGCTACCTACTGGGGCTTTGGGGGAAGAAAAAAAAAAAAAGGAGGAGGATTGGCAATAGATGTTAGTTCAGAGCTGGTCTTCCTCAGCAAAAAGAGGAGGATTAGCATGGATGTTAGCTCAGCTGATCTTCCTCACAAAAAAAAAAAAAAAACAAAACAAACCCAGTTGACGGTCATTTCTTCTGTGTGGTCTTCAAAGACACTCTTATTCCTGTATTCCAATGGTTCTCAACCCGCCTGCTCATTATAATCACCTGAGGGCTTTTAAAAACTATTGATGTCCAGCCTCTACCCATAGAAATTCTGACTTCATTGATTAGAGTGAATCTGAGCATAGAAGGTTTTAAATGTTCCCCCAGAGTATCTAATGTACTAGGGACTAAAGAAAGAAAAATTGAAAAGACGCAACAGAGTTTCTAACTTCAAAAAGTTCACTGTAGAGTAAACAAGTAAATTAATTGTCATTTACAAGAGAAAGGAGTACAAAGAGTGAAAAGGTCTGCATGTAGACCAAATAGAGGAGGCAGGAAGAAAAGGTGTGCCAGGAAAGGCCCCGGAGGTGCCTGCTGTAAACCAACTGAATACTTGGTAGATTTTTTATTTGCTCGGAGAATCCTGCTAAACCGTGAACAAGAGTTCAAAGCAACTAATCTGTAATTTAATCACTGGAAACAATACAACAAAGGAACTGTTCTGTAATTAATCATCATTATATCTTCAATACCCAGAATACCTGGCACATATTAGATGCTCAAAAATGCTTGTTAAATAAGTGAATGGTCAACAGTAACATTTAAACTTTCTTTTTTTAAGAAAGAATTATAATTAGTATCAGATTTCTAATTAATATCACTTTTGGCTGCAAATGAAAACTAAGCATCCTGTTTTTGGTGTCAAAGATTTTGACAGATGAACCACGTGTATGTGTTCTATTTCTTGGAGAGACAGATCGTTTTAAATTAAGCTGAGGAAAAGAAGTACTGACAAAGCAGTTCACTTTCGGTAATCTGGGTTTTCCCAAAGAGTGACATGAGGGCCAGTCATTTTGAACTGGACAGTTTTGAGTTCCTCTTCAAGAATCTGAAATGTAGGTCGGGGCTCTGCTGACATTTCCATTTGCCTCATAGCTGAAGACCAGCAGTGATCACTGCCAGGCAGGCAGTGGGGAAGAAGACTCGACGCAGGTGACGAGGGTAGCAGCCTAGCTCTGAAGCGACATGATGTGCTTCCAACAGGTTGAAAGGTAAAGAGACATGATCATCCGAATACTTAATGTAAGTAGCTGGTTCACTGAACAATGTAACTCTAGGTGCCAACTGACGGCAGTCTTGTTTGGAATGTCTATTATGTGTTTCTTTTGAAAGAGCTTTCTGTAAGTAACTGCTGACGGCACGTGTGCCGTGGTCTCACTTCATCTTTCTTTACTTTGAGTGCTTTTTCTCTTGACATTCTGAAATTTTGGGCTTTTCCCCAATTTTACTCATCCAAGACTGGCATTTCTGGAGCCTGCGAGGCACATAAATCTGGTCAGGAGGAGAATTCATCATCAGGAGTTAGAGCAGAAAGAGGAGATTTCTGATGAGAGAGACTGGGTTAGCAGGACCCTATTTTATCAAGGGTCAAAAAGTCCTACTAAGGTAATTCATTGTGACTTTTGAAGGGTCTAAAATTCCGTTCTTGTACTTCACTCCTCCTGCTATTTTATGCCTCCTCACACACCACTGACTTTGCTTTGCCCCCTTTCTATTCTTCCTTCCTTTTTTCTTTTCTTCCTAATCAAAGGTTCTCATCAAAGACAATAATAACTGTTAGGAAAAAATGTAATGCTTTTTACTATTTTATTAAAATATTACAATTTAAACATTTCTCATATTTTTTTCTAGAGGAGAACAAAGAGCTTTCTCCTGCTTTCAGGCATGAATCAGGTCACACTTCAATGGGATGTGATAATAGCCCTTTACATATTCTTCAGTTGGTGTCATGGAGGTATAGTATTCTGAGTACTTATCTCTATCTTTTATTCAACAAGTAAAATATTGAGTGCTTATTATTTTCAAGGCATCATGCTAGAATCTCTGAAGAATCAAAAATTATTAGCAAAAATTTTTTGGTAATTTGATAATTTACACAAACATCTGGCACTATGGCAGAGACTGGCATAAGCAGCTTTGAGGAACCCAGGAAGGGATCGTCAGAAGTGCAGGCAGGGAAGCTGTTGGCATTTGGGAGTTCCCACTGGGGGCAATGGTATCCTGGGCAGGTGGCAGGGATTCCACTACTAGGAGACAAGCAAAACCAAGGCAGAATTCTAGACCTTGAAGGGAGCTTTGCAGATCATGCAAGTTACTCGGAATAATAACAAAAGCAAAACCATTTTCTATAGATTGGGACACAGTTATATTAGAGATATAGAGGTAGCCCCATTATCAGAACTAGAATCCTTCCAGCAGGATATTGGACACTTCCAGAGTCAGGCCATCAGCTATCCAAGAAGATTTAGGGGAAGTAAGACACTAACTACTTTTTCCAGTTTCTTGATATAGGCAAATGATAAGTAAGACTTCTGTTTATACAGTCAAGTGATTAATAATATACAGCGTAGAGAAATAAGATGTCACCCTGTGACATGGTGTTAGAGAACTTCCAGCTGTCCATTAGAAAGTATTTTATACATTTTTGTTCAATTTGCTGTGAATATTTTTAGTATCATCCAGACTACATTTTTCCAAGTTTTCTCCTACAACGTTATGTTGCTCCTTTCCGATAGCCTAAAATAGAAAATATACTATGTTTAATGTTCCTCTGACTAATTTAATAACCCTATTAAAAAGAGAAATTAACATATTTTTGTATGACTTATTCTTATATAATCCATGTTGAATCCAACTGATCACTGACTTTTTTCCTGTGTGCGGAAAAATCACTGACTTGCTAATAAATTCCTGAATGTTGGGAAACTCAGTGGTACAGAGTTTCTGGGGTTCTTCTTTCTTCCATGTTTGAAAACCAGAATAACATTTGCCCAAATCTGAAGTCTTCCAACATTTTTTGACGTTTTCTGTGTATTCTCAAACACAACTTACAAGGGTTCCATGATACTATTCACATATTTTTTTAAGGTGCTGGAGATGCAGTTTGTCTAAACTTGAATTGTTGAACTCATTTAAAGCAGTCAGATGCTTTCTCAAAATTTCATTTTCGTGTGTTTGCCTTCAATTCCCTATTGATAAGGATGGAATCATTTTATCACTACTTCAACTTTTAAATATTTATAATTTATATGTAAATGGTCATTACATAAATGGAAATATTCAGTTACATTTATATTATACAAGTTAATTCTTTAAGCTGTGTATTCCAAAGATAAGGACCATTTAAAGTCAAATACTGACCTTTAATTATCACTATTTTGATAAGGCTTTAAGATATTTTAATACAGGTGTTTCCAGAAAAAGTTTATAACAAATTCGACAGAAACTTTAGTATGTTTTCCTTAATGCGAACTTAATTAATATTGCATTGCATTGTTATTTCAGTTTATGAAAATCACTTTATATTAATGTTTTTTGGTTATGAAAGTAATACATTCACCATATAATTTTTAAAACACAGAAATATACAATTTAAAAATGAAAAAAATTATTCTAATACACAGAGATGATCATTGTTAGTATCTTAGTGTGGTTCTCTTTAATCCATCCATTTATTTATTTCTAACATTGATCCTATATTATATATATTGTTTTGCAACTTGCTTTCTAACAATATATTCTGAACATTATCCCATATTATTAAATTAATGATGAATTTTAAGTGGTTGTCAAGCAATAGATTTTTGCCATTAGTAAGTGTATGGTTTTATTTTTTAAACTCAAGGTTTTCTGATAGAAGTTGCCTTTATCTACAAAAGAATGAAAGATTGATTGAGTAGCCGAGAATGGGGCTTGGATTCTGTAGCGCCAAGTGTTACTTCTAATCTTACCTTTGAAAAATGGGGTAGCCTCATAATGCCTCAGCCCCTTGCTTTAAAATAGGAGAGTTGGGGCTGGCCTGGTGGCACAAGTGGTTAAGTGTGCGCGCTCTGCTGCAGCAGCCCGGGGTTTGCCGGTTCGAATCCCGGGTGCGCACTGACGCACTGCTTGGCAAGTCATGCTGTGGCAGCGTCCCAAATAAAGTGGAGGAAGATGGGCATGGATGTTAGCCCAGGGCCAGTCTTCCTCAGCAAAAAGAGGAGGATTGGCAGATGTTAGCTCAGGGCTGATCTTCCTCACAAAATAAAAAAAGGAGAGTTAATTATATTTGCTCTTTAGACAGTTAGAGAAGCTTAAAGACTGGCTCTAGTCATGTGTCATGCTCCTGAACAGAAGCATGGTAAAAACATACTGTAATAAACTAATCAAGTAAAAGACACACCTAGCCCTAAACCTCTTTTCCAATGGAAATCACTTAATAGAAAAGAATAAATTTTAAATGCAATAACATATTATTCTGAATCTCCTGTTTTAATGTTTTACATGGAATTTATTATTTTATCTATTTGTTTCCAGGAATTACAAATATAAACTGCTCTGGCCACGTCTGGGTAGAACCAGCCAAAATTTTTAAAATGGGTATGAATGTCTCTATATATTGCCAAGCAGCAATTAAGAATTGCCAACCGAAGAAACTTTATTTTTATAAAAATGGCATCAAAGAAAGATTTCAAGTCACGAGAATTAATAAAACAACAGCTCGGCTTTGGTACAATAGCTTTCTGGAACCACGTGCCTCTGTGCACTGCACTGCTGAGTGTCCTGGATATCTTCAAGAGACGTTGGTATGCGGAAAAGACATCTCTTCTGGATGTAAGTGCTGAGGTGCATTCAAAATTCAAAAGAAAGCCAGTCTAACAATTAACTGGTAATTCCCAATCTTGTCTAAAAATAGAGGCAAATTGAGATAGTTCACCTCTTATGTTAGTTTAATATAAGAATTGCCAACTCAAACGTCTCCGGGGCCAGGGTGGTGAAACACGCGAGTTAAGGTGGCTGGTGAGATGTGCCAGGAGAGGAAAGCCATAGACGGTCTACTGGGGGGGGGGGGGGGCGCTTCCAGCTGCGGCATCTACTAGGGCCCGGTGTTCCTCGACCTTTTGACTCTTCAAAAGAAGACAGAAATATGGATTTTTCATGTGAACTCTACAAATTTTTAAATGTTGCCGATGCATTCAAAAGCGATTCTTCAACACGAGTCTGGCCAAACACAGCACACGTGGGGGGCAGCATCCTCAGATTAAAAATGCTGCTCTTTTTTATCTGTATCTCACTTATGTTTTTTCTTTGTTTGCTTTCCAAACTAATATCGTTAACTTTGAGTGGATTCCATTGAGAAATTTGAGGCTAAGATTTAGGGAGAAAAAACAGTTGCAAAACTAACTAGCTTTGTCTTCCTGCTATATTCTTTATCAGCTGTGTGACCTTGGGCAAGTTGCTTAACCAAGCTGAGCCTCAATTCCATGTCTGTAAAATGAGGCCAAATTATCCTGGTTGTGGTAAGCATTGAATTTCAATAATTTATTTGAAAGCATATTATAGACTTTTAAAGTACAATGTGCCTAAATTTTTAAAAATGCATCCTTTTGATAAAATATGGGGAGACCCTGACACAATTCCTGCTCTTAATCCTACTGCCCCAATTGTGAATGATTTTGTTTGCTACTATAATTATCAAGAAAAAGATTAATCAAGTTAATATTAAAAATATTTGCTAAATTCAATTTACGTTCAAAGTATTCTGGAGATGTTTAAGTTATAGTGATATGGGCTGACTTGTACCATTATATACTTAATTCTTTGTTCTGCTATTATGAAGCATAGATCAATAAGTTCAGCCATTGTCCTGCTGAGCTCTGGACACCTGATCTCACATGATTTTCAAATGAGAGAAGAGCAAAGGTGAATTGAGGAAGGAAAGTGTAAGTTTTAGAGTCAAAGATAAGGTTGGCACACTTATGCCTTAACCTAATAATAACATGCTAAACTTGCCCTAAATTGTGGGAATTGAAAGCACAGGCAGACATCTCATCTGATGTGTGAAGACTCCTTAGCTTGTCCACATCCTCAGGAAACATAAAGGACCCTTAATGCTTTTAAATACTTTACCATTTATCCCTTTGAGGTGGAGGTGGGGGTGTTGAGACAACATACAATTTCTTTGGAGGCAAATAAGCAACCCCCACAGTTATGGGAAAAGGTTAGTTTTCAATTGAAGCCAGAGGAAGAAAGGAGACAAAGAAGTATCGCCTCTTTCCCTGTGTCACAGTTGGTGGCCGATGGCTCGCATCAGCTCTCCCAGTGTCGGCTGAGGGCCTCTGCCCCCAGACACAACCACCAGGCAATGCTTGGGGTCAGGGAATAGCCTTTGCCACCCTTCCAGGATAGCAGAAGCACTTCTATTCTTGGCTGATGGCTGCTTAGAAAGAACATCACTCTTTCCATTTATTTGCTCGTGAGTTGTAAGTTCTTACACAGACCTCTGGTTATGAGTGTGAATTTGTAACTGCCAGGTAAGAATTTACTCAAACCCCTGGCTTCAAGAACCCTGTGTTCTTGGGCTCTGCATTCTTAGCAAACAAAACTTCCTATTTAAGTAGGTCAAAAAAAGGTTTTTGAGGGTTTTTGTGGTACTCTAGAAATCACATTGCTTTCCCTGGGTCCCTGTGATCGCAGGATATTCGTCCTGTGAGCTTCACCATGTCAACTCATCCTCACTGCTGCGAACAAAATGATTATGTGTATTTTTTTAGACTGGAGACAAATCATAAAAGGCAGAAGATGAATGAGTCATTGCTTTCCCTGAAAAGATATCCAAATGTATTTAAAAGGTTGGTTACTTTAATGTGTAATTTGTGCAATACTAACTATCATTCTCACAATTTCCACTTTTAGCTATAATCTTAAGCACTTCTTAAATTCTTATCTATGATTAAATGCACACATATTACAGGAAGTTTGTTCTATCAGAGTCACACCAATCATAGGATAAAACACTGTAAGATGTCTTTATTCATTTAAAAATACCAAATTAAACCATACATGGAATAGTCATATTTACACTTAATCATTTATTTAAAAATTTAAATATCTTTGACTTAAATTCTAACCTTCTTTGATCTCTACTTATTGTGATGAAAGCAGACTTGTTATCCAATAAAAGTCCCTGAATAGGGGCCAGCCAGGTGGCATAGCAGTTAAGTTCACGCACTCCACTTTGGCGGCCCAGGGTTTTCAGGTTCGGATCCTGGGTGCAGACCTACACACTGCTCATCAAGCCATGCTGTGGTGGCGTCCCATATAAAGTAGAGGAAGATGGGCACGGATGTTAGCCCACAGCCAATCTTCCTCAGCAAAAAAGAGGAGGATTGGCATTGGATGTTAGCTCAGGGCTAATCTTCCTCACACACACAAAAAAGTCCCTGAATATTTGTCTTTAATGTTGTTATTAAGCACCAATACTGGCATAATTAGGCCGACCTGTGCTCTCCTTGGGTCAGGAATTGAAGAGTGATGTTTGCCAGAGCTATTGGGCCTCTCTTCATTTTAATTCTTCTTCTTATGGTCATTTTATTAATCAAGCCAATCAATTCATGAAATACACTTTGCTGACAGGTTGCTATGCACCAAAATTGTGTGCATAGAAATTCAAAGAAGAAAGAATCGCAGACTCTGCCTTCAAGAAGCTCTGAGTAGAAAATGATCCTTGGCTGCACCCTGTATTAACAGGAAATCTGGCCTGTGATTAATGAGCACCCCAATAATAAAGGAGGGATGAAATTGGTAGGAAACAGCAAAAACTTAAGCCTCATGCTTGTATATTTCAGGGTATTCCCTAGTAACTTGATGTATATCAGGTTTTTATCCTTGGACACTGAGTAACCCGGCAATGAGATCTAACAATCTGATCTTACTCTCACAACCATAGTCACATTGCCATCTTTACAGAGCTTCACATTAACAAATATTGTGTTTATTTGCATATGTGTATAGAATCTATTTGATTTTTTCAAAGTTAATTAAACATCAGACGTTTATAACCCTGAGCATTCACTTCATATAGAATGCTGTGGAATAACACAGCCCAAAAGATTGACGGTTGTCTTTTGTGAGGCTAAATCAATGATACTCTCCATCCACAACCAGAGGAGAAAAATAGCTTCAGCACAGATCACTGTAATCCATGAGTGACCACAACTGAGTCAATATCTAAAGTGACTTAAATTTGTGTTTCCACACCTACCTCTGCTAAAGCTCAAATGAAACTTAAAAGATTTCTTTACCCTCCTTGGAGTCCCATTTCTCCCCATTGTCACTCAATACTACAACTTACTGTTGTAGTATTCTATAACACTACTACAGTGGTGTGTTGTTACTGTTGAAAATAGTTTTTTAACTATAAAGTCAAATTAATTTCAATGTAGAAAGTTTTAAAAAATTTAGACTAGCAAAAAAGAAATAGCCTTTGTCTCTGTAATCCTATAATCTCACCACTAACAGAATATCCCTCTTTAATAATTTGAAATATGTCTTTCAAGTTTGTCTCTCTCTGTCTCTCCTTCCCTCTATCCCTCTCGTCTGTCTGTCTCTCAAATGAGATGACTATACTATACTATTTTGCAACCTGCTTTTTTCCCTTTATCATATGGCCATTACTGACTGACCTAATTAAACATATTTCTAGTGCCTTCCAAAGGCCAGATACTTAAATTGTCTTCTACAACTTTATTTTTGAATGCATTTTAGGAGTATATTATAGTTTATTTAACCTTATTTTGAGGTATTAAGGTCATTTCCAATTTTTTCATTATTATGAACAATACTTTAAGAGGCACATCCTTTAGTCAAATATTTTTGTATGTCTATGAACATTTCTTTAAGGACGCATTCCTAGAAATAAAACTGCTGGGCTGCAAGATACTACTGCAGCTTTTAAAGATTAGATTGTGATATGATCCATAAAGGTTGTACCAATTAGCACTCCTACCAGCAGTGTGTTAGAGGATTTCCCTGAGTCCATTTCAACACTGAGGATTACCATTTTTCAAAAGCCATGCCAACTGGATAGTTCTAAATGCCATCTATTATTGTATCAATTTGCAATGAGGATAAATTTTTTCATATATTTATTTATTATTTTAGAAGTAATATTCTTGGTTGGTGATTTGCAGATGAAGTGCAGGAGTATAATTATCTTTAGGATAAATCTTTGGGTGTAGCTTTAGGTGCAAAAACGTCTGTGTTTTTATTCTTTCTGAGCCCCCATTCTCCCATTTGTCTGGTCATTCTCTGAGTAGTCTAGTTTCCCAGGCAGGATTGCACATGCGAAAAAGCTGAGAGCGCACACCTGAAAAGTGAGTATATAATCAACACTCAATATTTCCGTAGTTCATTTTTGACCTTGGTTTATTATTGGATGATGTAACTGAAAACCCCAGGTGCTGTTCTCTAGTTATGGGGGTTTCACGGGCTTCAGAGGCCCCAAGGGCTCACACAGTGTCATGAGAACACTCTCATCTTTTCCCATCTCTTGGGTTTTGTTTTCCCCTCTGTTGGCTTCATTTTTAAATAGACTGTTTCACTATGACAACAAGATGGCCAACCAGCCACTCAAAGCTCACATATTACTGAGACAACAATTTCAAGGGGGAAGAGAGTGTTTCTTTTAGAATGGCTCCAGAAAAAGTCCCTTGGAGAATCCTGATTGGTTCATCTTGAGTCGTGTTCATTTCCAAGGGAAATACTCAGTTAGTCAGCCTAGGTCAAGGGCACACTTCTGTGTGGAGCCCAGTGATTGACAGCTCTTGGGGCGAGGGTAGAGTGGGGATGAGGTTGGGTGTAGGGCAGGTAGATGTCAGTTCTTTTTTTTTTCTTTGTGAGGAAGATCAGCCCTGAGCTAACATCTGTCACCAATCTTCCTCTTTTTGCTGAGGAAGACTGGCCCTAGGCTAACATCCACGCCCATCTTCCTCCACTTTTTATGGGGCGCCGCCACAGCATGGCTTGACAAGCGGTGAGTTGGTGTGTGCCCAGGATCCAAACCCGCGCACACTTAAATGCTATGCCACCAGGCTGGCCCAGATGTCAGTCCTTAAAAAAAAAGATGCTAGCAGAGGAAAACTAACAACGTTCTCTGTAATACGACCGCGCAGAGAAAGAGCTGAGGAGGGGTAGGGGAAGGGAAAAAGATAGAACCTTGAAATAGAATTCTGTGAATACCAAAATTTTTTTCATCTTTTTTTTTTATTGTGGTAAAATATATACAACATAAAATGTACCATTTTAACCATTCTTAAGTGTACAGTTCTGTGGCATTAAGTACATTCACATTGTTGTGCAACCATCACCGCCATCCATCTCTAGCACTCTTTTCATCTTGCAAAACTGAGACTCGGTATTCATTAAACAATAACTCCCCATTCCTCCCTCTCCCCAGCCCCTGGCAACCACCATTCTACATAGTTTTTGTGTTTATGAGTTTGACTAACCTAGATACCTGATATAAGTGAAATCATACAGTATTTGTCCTTCTGTGTCTGGCTTATTTTACTTAGTGTCATGTCTTCAAGGTTCATTCGTGTTGTAGCACGTGCCAGAATTCCCTTCCTCTTTAAGGCTGAATAATATTCCATTGTATGTATGAGCACTAAACTTTTAAAGTGAGTAGTGGAATAGGCTCCAGAGGAGAGGACAGTTTGCCAGAGCAGAAAAACACTTAAGAGAACCCTTTCACAGGAGCCAAAAGGACAGAGGTTTCAAGGAGGAAGTGACCAAAATACCAGATGCTGCAGAGCCCAAGCTCAAAGACACAGCAAAGAGGTCCTGGGGTTTGTCAATTAGCAAGTCAGGAATGACCTTAGCAACAGTGTTGGGTGGAATTGTGGGCTGGATCTTGATTGTTTGGGGTTCAAGGGTAAATGAGAGATGAAGAAAAAGACCAGTATAACGGGGGTTTTTTAAAAGTTTAGCTGTTAAGAAAAGGAGAAAGATACAGTGGTTGCTGAGGGGAGAGAATTTGGGGAGGGATTTTTTTTTTTTGAATGAGAGGAACTTGAACATATTAGTGTCCCCGAAGGAGCGGAGAATACAGTAACACAGGCAAAGGAGAGGAGCAATGTTTTACGGCCAAGTGGGCTGCCAGGTGCGGTGGTAGGGGTGGCACCAGGGAGGCGCTGAGCGCAGGTTGACCTGTTTCCCCAAATGAAGTGGAAAGGTTATCAACTCGCTACTTTGTAAGGACCTTTACGTTTCTATGGTGGCTCCTAAGTGGCCCATTTTGTTGCAGATCCACCAGACGCCCCTGACCAGGTAACCTGTGTCATTTATGAGTATTCAGGCAACGTGACTTGCACCTGGAATGCTGGGAAGCCCACCTACATAGACACAAAGTATGTGGTGTACGTGAAGAGGTAGGTTCCTTCCTCAACAGTTTAACACGAGCAGTCCCTCCCTGTCCAGCCGGCGTCCTGCCTCCAGCAGGGATCCAAGAATCCAGTCTCAAACATTAGACGTACCCTGACTCTCCCCAGCTCCCTAATTGTGATTGGTAAGCTACCAACACCCTTCTCAGGCTATTGATATTTTCACTTGGGGGGCAATGTGTTCTATAATCTTCCCGCCCTTTTTATTCATCTGTAGGTGACTGGTGGCAGGGCCTAATGGTGACACAGCACAGCACAGTTTTAAAAGGACCTTTGCTTAAATCCCAGCTCTATCCTCCTTCTAGGGTTTAGGTAACTTAATCTCTCCAAATCGCCATTTCTTTATCTTTAAAATGAGTCTAAAAATAGAATGTAATGCACAAGTTTGTTCTAATTATTTAAGTGAAATTTAGCCTTTAAAGTGTGTATCACAGTGCCAGGTCCACAGTTAGCACTAAATTCATGTAAGCTATTAATTATTAATAATGACCCCAAAATCTTAAATTTGGTGTCTATATAGGCTGACCATCTTTCCTGGTTTGCCTGAGACTACGGGAGTTCCCAGAACACAGGTGGTGACAGTAATGATTTTCTACTTAGAGTCGAGGAGGGCTTGTAGAAATGCTCTTTTGTTATGTTCTAACAACACCCAAACTTCAGGAGCCGACACAACCATGCAGCCAAAGTCTCTTAAGTTTTAAGCTTCAAGACAAATGATTAATTATAAAACTTGTATTACTTCACACTAAACTGAATCAGAAAAAAAAGTATGTTTAGTTTTTACTATTCAGAAACTGCAAAATAGGAAAAGGTTGATGTGAAAAAATCCCTTTCTCTTCCTCAATGCACGTAGTTCAAATCATTCTTCATCACATTTAAACTATATCCCCGTACATCAGTCTCTTTTGGACCCCTCTACAGTGTTAACAATGGGAATGAAACCATTCATCTGAAAAAAAAACGTTGTGGGCAAACTGGGATAAGTTGGTCACCCTATCTGTGTTTCGTGTTTTGTTTAGTTTTGTTTTTTTTAAAAAAAGAATGCCTTCAGTAGTGTATTTGAAGTACACTTTTTCTGTCAATAATTCTCAAAAATTTCACAAACTCCTTATTAAAAAAAAAGCATTTATTGGACCAGTTTGGCAAGCACTGGGCCAAAAGCTTTATACGTGCTACATCATTTAATTCCCTATACAACTTTGTGAGATACATACGATTGCTTTTCTGATTCCTGTAGACAAGACGACTGAGGCTTAGTGAGGGTAGGTTAGGTGAGGGCCACGCAGCTATAGAGAGGAAGAGGTGGGAGTAACCTGGGTTAGCCTGACTGCCTTCTTCCTAACTTAGTTATTTTCTGCTGAAGCAGTGTGGAGAGCCAGATCACAGGGCATATTTAAGAGATGCTATCCAGGTCTCATCATTATGGAAGAGAATAACCTTCCAGTCTTGCTCTCTCTCTCTCCACCTGTTAGATACTCAGAATAATTGTGATTAAGTGAAACATAAAAAGTAACACCTCTCCATTCAAGAAATTCTGGGTAAAAACTAGACAGATTTCATGAAGACATTGCTAGGCCTGGAGTTCCTGGCTGCCTGCCATGGGCTAGAAGCTCATACCGTTCCTTCTAAGTAGAGGTTAAACTGAGGATGGTCAGTGTCAATGAAGTGATGGAAACACTGAGATCAGGGATGGGTTGTATTGACAGATAATATACAACATGCAAAACACTGCTCCATACCTCTTGTCCATTACGTCTTCAATCCTCAGCTCAACCCTGTGAGGTAACTATTATTATTGTTGCCATTTTATAGGTGGCTTGGAGAGCCTATATTGCTTCTCCAAAGTTACTTGGCTAAGAAGTAAGGGAGCCAGGATTCTAACGTGGGTCCAAGACTTAACCTCTACCCCTTACCTCTGTCCCCTAGAGAGGAAAAGAGGCCATGAGGACAAGAAACTAGAGTCTCATTGCTAAGTCAACTTCAGGAATGTGGAAATGAGGGTAGTATGGGAGCAGAAAAACTAGGTAGTGCCAGATTGACAGAGAAAGCCTAGTGCCTTGAGGATTTTTTGCTATCTCCTAGAACATTTTACTGCCTCATGGACACACTGATCTTGGTTGTTGATTAATTCTTTCTCTTTTTTTTAATATAAAAGCTTTATTGAGTAGAATTTACATACCATATAATCACCTTATTTAAAGTGTACCATTCAATGATTTTAGTATATTCATAGAGTTGTGCAACCATCACCACAATAAATTTTAGAACATTTTCCTCATGCCAAAAAGAAACCCATATCCATCAACAGTAACTCTCCATTTCCCCTCAACTCTCCCAGCCCTGCATCCTCTGCGGATTTGCCTACTCTGAACACTTCATATAAAAGGAATTATACAATATGTGGTCCTTTGTGACTGGCTTCTTTTGCATAATGTTTTCAAGATTTATCCATGGTGTAGCATGTATCAGCACTTCATTCCTTTTTTATGGCAGAATAATGTTCCATTGATATACCACATTTTATTTATCCATTCATTAGTCGATGGATGTTTGGGTTGTTTCTACTTTTTGGCTATTATGAATAATGCTTCTATTAACATTAATGTACAAGTTTTTGTGGAGACATATATCTTCATTTCTCTTGTTCATGTACTTAGGCACAGAATTGCTGGGTCATATGGAACTCTTTAACCTTTTAAGGAGCTGCTGTTCTGTTTTCTAAAGCAGCCGCACCATTTTACATTCCCACTAGGAGTGTATGAGGGTTCCAATTTCTCCACATCCTTGCCAACACTTCTTATTATCTTGTTATTTATTGCTTTCTCAGGTTCCTGACAAAATTGCAATGTAAATTTGGGACAGACATACTACAATTTGAGAAAATATATTTGTTAGACAAAAACTTGCCAACCAAGTATTATTTAGTACCATAAAAATATTGTTTAGTATCATAAAATTATTCTCCGAATATTTTATAAGATTAGTAATTATAGATTTCTTTTAAAATCCATTAATGCATTCAAATTATATATGTTGAAATTATTTACACATGGCCTTTTATGGACACATCTCTTTTACAAAGTGAGGAATACCTGTAATAATTATGAGTACTGAGATTGTTCTCAGTACTCAAAAAGTCACTCTAAAAGCATTAAGAATTGATCTACTAAAGATCACACTGTCAGAGGTGTCCATTGGAAAGAGCAGAGGCTTTAGAATTTTACATTGATTTCCAGTTCTGAAACTTACTCAGTCAGGTGTCTTTTATGATGCAAATATCAGAAAACTCAAGTGCAGTGATTCACTTTATTAAAGATGGGGCTTTATTAACATCAGGCCATCATGGTAGGGAGTCAGAGCTGGCATGATAATTCCATGATACCCCAAGGACCCAGGCACTTTTCACCTTTCCCCTCTGCAATCTTGAGAGTGTTGGCTTTAATTCTCAGATGCTGCACCTCCAGGCTTCTCATCCAAGTCCCAGGCAGGAGAGTGGTGAAGGGTAAAGGACATCCTCCTATGGACTTCTGTGTGCATCTCATGGGCCAGAAGTGAGCCAGATGCCTCCTCTATGTGGATGGGAACTCTGTGTGGAAGGGCATTGTAGATGGATTTTAGTACCATCATCTAACAGGATCTGCCATGGTTGCTGGCTGTGTGATCTTGGAAAAGTTATTTAGCTTTGATGAGCCTCAGCCTCCTGTGAAATGAGGATAATTAATACCGTATTGGTTTGCTATAAAACTTATAGAAAAGCAAAATTATAGGAAATGGCATGCAAATAGGAAATGCTTAGAAACAACAACAAAAAGATGACATTAGAGTAGTATAGTAACACCCAAGGCTGCCTCCCTAGGCTTGTTTGATTTGTTCTTACGTCAAAACCTGACTCATTTGGGAGAGAAGAAGATTAATGTAAAGCCATTAAAAAATGATCATTTACAGAATATTATAAACAATAATTTTATTTACATTATTTTCAAGTAACAGTAATTTTGGACAGATGGCTATTTAGAAAGAGATGTTAAATGTGCTCTAATAAGCAAGACTAATTTTCTAGCTGTTGTGTATATGTCGATAGTAAATTCACTCATTCATTCAAACTAGAGTGTAGACTCAATGTGGGCGAGAATTTTTGCTTGTTTCATTCACAGCTGTATCCCTTGAGCCTAGAATGGGGCCTGGCACATAGTTAGTGCTCAATGAATATTCGTCAAGTGATTATTCTGATAACTAGAAACAGACATTTTCTGCATTCTCTCTCTATAGTTTCATTAAATAATAATAATAATAATAATAATACAAGGTTGTATATCTTGTAAAAATCAGTTTTTTCACTATCTTTCCTGAAATCCAACAGTAAATTATAGCTAAACTCAAACAAATCTAACCCAAGTTTTGAATTGATGGAGTCCAGATTAATGGATTTTTATCATACTTTAAAGAAGACATAAAGATGTGAAGGATTAGCATAACAATGAATGTTCTCCTCTAGCAATGTCAAAGAATGAGCTCCTGTAAGCACAAACTGGAAAAAGAAATAAACATCCATTCATCTTACAATTAATTAAAAACATACCCATGAGTTGAAAAAAATTAGAGATGAGAAAGTCAATTCTTCTAACTCGCTATCAAAAAAGTCTTTCCCCCCAGGAAAAAGTTGACTTATAATGAATTTTGTGGTTGAGGTAGTAAGTATCAGGTTTAAAAAGGCTCTTCTAGATCCTGGGTTTTTAGGGTATTTTCCACTTTGGCAGATAGGTAGACATCAGCATTTGCAAGGTTTCACTTCCAGCTTGTGTGGTTCAGTTTTCCCGTAAAATCACATATCCGGAGAGGCCTTTCACTCAGCCCACCCATTTGTTCCACCAGTAGGAGAAAGGTGGTGTTCCCTCCACGGCAACATAGGGGCCATCGGGCCTCCCTCTGGTGTTGGGTTGAAGTTGTAAAGTAGAGGAATTGTGTCTGTATTGCTTCAAGAGCTTTCT